CGCAACAACCTTCTCTTCTTTTTATCTTTTTACACTTCTTTAGGTAAAATTTCAGATTTGAATACCTTTAATATTATCATTTATTTCTATTTTCTCTTTAACATATTTTAGGGCTTTTTCATGCTCTTATGAATATATATGCATGTAGATGGTTTCAGGTTTATAATTCTTTCTAAATTTACATATTTAAATGCAATTATGCATTATGGAATGCCAACATGTCATTCTCTACCATCTACAAACACATCCCAAAGTAACACATAATCATACTCATACATGCACTTTTCCTTGGCATTTCATCAAACAATTCATGTGCACAAATCAACACTAATTTGGCTACACTTCTATCTCTATTTTAGGCCACCAAAAATTTGGAATAAACTCCTCCATAATTAACTCCAAATCTGCCCAAAATACACACTTCAAAATTTTCACTTCAACTCTTCCAAATCTCAACCAAACATTCATCAAGTATCACATACACCAACCCAACTTCTCATGGATAGGTTCTAATTATTATTCAACACCAAATCCATCAACAATTCCACATATAACACATATATATGCACAAAGAAAATTCTCTACACAACATAACTTAAATCACACTTAGGGTAGGATTTACTTACCTTTGATATGAGCAAATTCAACCCTTTAAGAATCTCCTTTGATCAAACTCTCTTCCTCTTAAATCCTATGAGCATAAACCATCAAAATCAACACTTTAAAAACTAAAATTCACTTCTTAGTGCAAGGATCTTACCTATAGAAGCTTAAGATTGAAAATCCACTAAAAAACACCCAAAAGCTTTGAATTTCCTTTGAAGAAGAATTGAAGAATTTGAGAGAATATGGAGGTGAAAGTGGCGTGCATATGGGTAAGAGTGGCTGGGGTTTCACTCTTCAATTTGATATAACATAAAAATTATATATAGTTTCCCATTTTGCCCTTTCACTTTCTTTAAAATTTCATCTATGTCCCTTAGTCAATTACCATAATGCCCTCATTTTTATTGCATTCTCCATGAAATTATATCTCTTTTCACTCCCCACAATTTCAACTAATTTTGAGTGAAAAGACCATTTTACCCTTAACGCAAATTTAAGGCATTTTATTCACATTTCTCAAAATAACTTTAGCAAAAATCAACTAAGGGTATAAGAGCATAAATTAAATTACGTACCTCCATATGGGCGTTACAAGTGTTGTGCCCAATATCTCGGTGAAATCTGTAATACTTTTGGCGATCCCTTCTACCAGGTGCTCCCCTCATTCTCTCTAGTGTAGGTAACCTTTTAGCGTCATGACAGACTTCATAGATGTGTGCCACATCCTCTGTTAGGGGGGTGTATTATGCATATCACAAAAAAGGTTGTCTTTCCCCACATAATTTCGTTCACTGTTTTTTTGAGAACCTGTTTTAGTCCCTATCACCTTGATCTTGGCCCTTTCTTTTGTCTACTAGGCGATCTTGTCACCTTTCAAGGGTTCTCCTTGGTGAGTTTCCAACTAAGGCTGCCAAAAAGCTTTCAACTCACTAATGCTTGGTAGCCATTAGGTAGAAGTTGGCCAGGCTCACATGATCTTCACTTTAGAGCTCTTTCCACAGTTCTGTCTGTGGCCTTATACTTGCTATAAGCAAAGTGCAGATTGACTCCTCAGGTGCATCTATGACCTTTGTTTGCTCATTCTAGCACCTCGTTAAATACAAGGTCAGAGTTTTGTTAGAGTAGGTGCCCTAGAGCCAATCAATTATTCTAAAATTGATTCTGTAATAAATGTTTATTTATCAATAAAAGGCATATTCTTCTATATCGTGTATGTAATGATATATGTCCTTAGGATGGTAAAACTGTGACAAGGGTATCAAGTGTTTCAAATCTTGATAGTGAGAACCCTATGATCACATATGGTGGCCATTCTAGAAACATTCGTAGCCCTAGTATTATTCTGACCAAGGAGACAGATAATACGGTAAGGCTACGATAGTGTTGAATGACCCTATCGAAAGGCAATGACTGATCTCACTTATCAAGGTTGTTTGCTGACAACCTGATGCAACGCATGAGTGCTTGCAAGAGGCAAGTTCACTGGACAGACCCACTGGTGTGCTGTCGTAGGCAACCAAGATTAAAAACCTTCCTAACCTAACTACTGAACTGTAAATAGGGTAAGCAAGGGTTGATCCCACGAAGAGTGTCTAACCGAATTTTCGATGATGTGAATAAGGTTGGGGGGTTTTTAGTAAAACAGAAAACAATCTTAGCCAAAAACAAAAACAAAAACAATTCAATTCGAAATCAATTAATATAACAAAACTTGGTCTCTGTCAACATCCACCATCGGAATCTTACAACTGATCATTGATGCAAAAGTAAATCAATCCTTACTTTGAATATTCACTGTTGGAACTATTTTCCTATCTCTCCTTAATTGTAATTAATTAGGAAACAAACGATCTTAATTAGTCTTACCATTAAACAACCTTAGACAAGCGCTAAAGATTTAATCTAATGGCAGCCTTAAGAATTAGAGAGATCGATGAAGCTAAACAACACAAACTCAAGCGGTTGTATTTAATTTAGTCGAGTGTTCCTCTTAAGATTACTAATTCCTGACGCAGCAAATTAATAACCCTAATTGCTTCACAAGTTAGAGGGATCAAACAATTACGGATTTGATATCTAACTTAGCAGTAGATTNACCATAATGCCCTCATTTTTATTGTATTCTTTATGAAATTCTACCTCTTTTCACTCCCCACTTTTTCAACTAATTTTGAGTGAAAAGACCATTTTACCTTTAATGCAAGTTTAAGACATTTTCTTCATATTCTCTTAAAATAACTTTAATAAAAATTAACTAAGGGCTATAAAACTTAATTTAAATCATGTACGTCCATGTTGAGCGTTACAAAAATAAAACATCCAGAGCTACCCTTCACTATTTTACAATAATATTAGTATTTTTTTTTTTTTTTTTTTTTTTTTTTGTAATCAGGGTGTTCAGCTAGTTTATGTGTACCTTAACTAATCCTCGAGGTTCATTGAACACTTGATAAGCCCAAGGACTAGGTAAGTCATAATGTGATAGGTAGTCCAAAAGTTTGAACCTAAGAACTTAATAAAGGAAACAAACTTTGTTGATCGTCAGGCCTACCCCGTGGGACTAAAGAGATGTTATTATTTGACAGATACTTATTTTAACAACTAGAAAAAAAAAAAAAAAAGGACACATGTTTTATTTATATCAATAAATAAACATTTTTTTATTACTCAAATGACACTTTTTGATGCATGTCTCTAAAAAAGTGTTAGTTTATTTATAAAATGTAAAAAAAAAAAAAAAAAAAAAAAAAATCCATTCAGTGATAGTATAGTGTCTGTTGATTGATAAAAATTTCTATTTATCAATACAGATAAAACTTGTTCGTTTTTCTTCTAGTTTTTTTAAAAAGTGTCCTACAATAAAAATAACCCTTCGTGGAAATTATTCTATTATTGTTTTTTGTTTTGTTAAAAGTTAGAATTCTTTTTTGAAAAAGTGTTAATACTTATATTGGGATATTAATTATTTACGTCTTATGCTATGCAACGAATCTAAAAAAGAGGTTGAAGGTATTTATTTTTGCGCAAAGGTAAACTATTTATTTGTGTAACTGTGTATCCCATTGTAATACAATCCGTCAATAAGAATACACAAATGTAAAACATAGTAAAATTACTTAGATAGTAATTAGTTTTTGTACAGCCTCGAATAAAAATTTTTAAACCATTAAATTATACTAGATTGATAAATTTAGATCAATATAATATCATCAAACAAACTCTAATTTTGCATTTGCAGTGTATTAAATTTAGATTTTTATTAAACCAACAATGATAATAACTAGTTCATATATATTTATTGGTTTATGAGCTTTGATGCTTTTGTACTTCTAAGTCCTTTTATCTATTTTAACCACACATTATAAAATAAAAATAATATTTGGATTATCTAAAAATGGTTTCAAATTAAGTATACTTTAGAATATACTCATCATGTAAAGAGGTAACAAAAGTTATCATTTTAAGAAAGGATAATTAAATAAAATATATATCAAATTATGATAAAATTACCATAATAACATATAATTTCTAATTATTAAAAATTGAATATTACTTTATAATAATATGTTATGAAATGTTGTAATAAAGTTGAATGTTAGAAGAATCTCATAAAAAATACCCAGGCACGGAGACAGTGTATACTTATTATAGGGTCACAGTTTAACCCTAAAATTTTGGTAAAATTTAATTCGGTCCACATATTCTAAAAAGTGACTCCTTGAATCTAATATTTTTAGAATAGTAATATTTACCTCAATATAAAATCTGTTACTAAAATCTATTAATAAAAAAATTGAAATATCCTTAGATATCTTCTTGCCCTATCATCATTAATATAATTAAAACAAAAATAAAAAAGATTAATCACAAAAAATTACCCTTTACTAGATATTAAATTTTGAAGAATTAGTGAGATGAAGATAGTGGATGAAGATAAATGGGTTAAGAGTGTTGACACAACACAAACTAAGTATAAAAACTCTTGTATATAAACTACGTGACACAACTCTTTTATTGTTCCATCATTCATTAATTCATCATTTGTGGAGTTGACTTATCTACAAATTCCTCCACTCAATTATGTGCCAAATTCTTCATATATTGATTTTCAATTTCACTCTTCATTAGTTAATTTTTATATATTACATCTATTTGCTTTAAAGAGGTAACTGTATTAGAGTATAAGGACTGAGATTACATTTACTAAACCTGAAGGAGTAAAATAAAATAAAAAAATATAAAAAAACAAAAAAAAATGAAATTTCAGTTTTTTAGTTGTTTCCAATCAATCGAATCCTTGAAGCCCATAACAACTACAGCTACAACAACGAGAAGCGAGAGATAGAGATAGAGAGAGAGAGAGAGAGAGAGAGAGAGGGAAAAAACGAAAACAGAACCAAAAAAAAAAAAAACCTAGGAGAGAGAAATCGCTAGTTCAATTTCGCATTGCATTTTGAGATCTCGATTCTTCAATCCGTATAAGGTATGCGGTCTTCAATTTCTTTTTTTTTTTTTTCCTTTGTTTAGTTTTGTGAAAATGGATGCGTTTTGCCTTTTCTGTTTGTTCGGTTTGTTGCTAGTGGAGCGAATCCGTCTTCGTTTTTGTTCTAATTTGTTTGATGTGGATTCGATTCTGGATTTGTTGTGCTCTTTTGTATTGTACATTGTCTCATTTTGTTTGGTTTAATTTGTAGTTTTGTTTCTAGGGCTTGTTTTTGTTTTTTTGTTTGTTTTTGAAGGATTTGTGTTGATTTTGTTTTTTTTTGGTGGCTGTGAAAATGTGAGAAAGGAAAAATTGAATCTTTGAATCTCAAATTCTCTTAAACTGAGTGGGTAGGCGAGAGAAAACTAGAGGAATCAGAGGTTTCGATTTTGTTTTATGATTTAATTTCATTTATAGAATATATGATTTTATATGTTAAGTTTTGGGTATTATTTATTATGTGTTCTAGAGGTTTTGTACTGTTGAAGACCGATTGGGAAGGTGCCATGTGTGTTTTGGGTCCCATTCGTTTGCGTTAATAGGTTCGAAGAAGTGGGTCCTGTTGATATTGCGTGGAGTATAGCTGATTTAGATCGGGTGTTTTGACCAAAGGACAGAGCAAGAGAGGGAATCGCATGAAGCGCAATTTAATGAATTTCTGTTATGTTTCTGTGTCTGTTGAGTGAGGTTGTTGATTGGTATGTTTATCGATATTAAACATTTTTGCTTGATAGGGATTGGTTGCACATTGGCTATGGCGAATTCTAAAGGTTCATCAAACTTCAAAAATTCTTTGTACTCTGGAAAGCATGCTTTACTGCCTCCTAAAAGTCCATTTCCTAGTGTTTCTCCGGCATATGTTGATTATGCGTCCAGTGCTGTAATTGGACCGAAAGCAATTCAAAAGCCCAGAGAGGGTAACATACACCACCAGCGAACATCTTCTGAGAGTCTCCTACTGGAAGAGCAACCTTCTTGGCTTGATGATCTCCTTAATGAGCCAGAAACACCTGTGCGCAGAGGAGGTCATCGACGTTCATCAAGTGACTCTTTTGCATATATAGATGTAATAAATGCTTCTAACATAGATTATGCAGCTCAGGATGAGTACAGATATAAAAATGTGGTCTCTGTTCCTTCTTGGAGATCTCAAGATTTGGATTATCACAAGGATTCTAGGCATGCCCATTTCTATAGTGAAGCACACTTGGGGAAGCCAAAGAACAGGGTATGGGAATCACCAGTGAATACCATGCCTCATCCAAGTAGCCTTCCTTCTGCCAGGGAGAGTGTTCTGCAGAATTCAGGAGCATCAGGTGGAACACATGAAGCGGATGGTGTTACATCTACAGCAAATGAAATGCTGGAGACAGCTGAAGCTGGTCCTCATGATTCAACATCTTCTGAGAAAAAGGATAATTCCCATACTAAGCCATCTGAATCTGACACGAAACGCGCCAAGCAGTATGCATTCTTTTTACTATCTAGCATTAAAATTTTCTTTTTTAGATTCAATTTTTTGATTGTAACTCTACTGGTGATCTGAATGACCCTTAGCTGCTGTTTTGTTCTGTTGTTGGCTTGTTGCATACATTGTCTTAAAATCTCATGGTTATATATAGGATGGTTGATGAGTGGTTTTAGAAGTTAATGTTATGCTTCCATGAACATTGTACTGTTTATTACGGATAGGAACACTTTAATGGCTTGAGACTTATAGAAAAGCCTTTATGAGGCGTCTTCCAATTTGTAAGGTTATCTGAATCCTGGTGAAATTTTCTGGAAATGTAGCCAATTTCAAGATCTTCTTACGCATTGACCCCAGTGTGGGATCCTATTCTCCTTCTGAATTTTCTCTTCTTGCTTCAAGATGGGAGCAATAATTTGTTTGGTGGATTGAGAATGAAATCAAGTATCATGGTTGAAGAACAAAGCTATAAAATGAATGTTCTCATCTTTTCTCATCTCAGTTCCGGGACAAGATATTACCTTCTCAATTCTAGGACGAGATATTGTCACTGTAAGAGAAAATATCATTTGAAAGTAACGCTTTCCTGTTCACCACAATTTTCTCTACAAAATGGGTGGGAGGTTCTAAGAAGAATTTGTCCTTTGAACTGAAGGCAGGTTATTCTTCTCTTTTGTTAAAATTAACAAGAATGAGGCAAAATTTGAATCTCATATCTAAGAGGCACACAATCAGTGTAATCTATTTACTTTATCTGATCTATTATAATGAACACTATTAATTGAGTGCTGCCCAATTACTACCTTGAAGTAAAGATTCATACTAATCTTAGGCAACTAATTCAAAATTTGTGGTTTTAGATAGGAGTGCTATATCTAGAGGCAGGATCAAACATGAAGGGTCTGTTTGTCTTTATTTTCTATTCCTTCTTTGGAAAAGAGAAATGAAAAGGATGAATGTGAAGAACTGGTCCTGGAAACTCTAATACTTCTAAGCATATAGGGCTGTTGAAGTCAGAGAGTAGTCCTGAGAGGAAATCAATGAGGATGGTTGTGAATTTATGTAGCTTTCCTTCTTTTTGGAAGGGAATTTAAGAACTTTCCCTGGCCGTCTTGATGTAATGTGTGGAATTAATTCTTTCCCTTATTGCTAAGGTGATGTGGCTGGAATATTAAGTTTTTTAATAACTATGTGCCACTTGTATCGATATTAAATATGGACATGATGTGACATAGGTCTCTAATTATGGAAAGTAATAAAATTTTTGTGAATGGTGATATAATAAACTGACACATATAAGTTCATATACTTGACTTATTAAGGATCTTTTTTTTTTTTTTTTGAAAGTTTATTTATGTCATTTGTGTCAATATTAAATACGGACATGATATGAGGCAGGTCTACTAATATGGCATGTAGTGATATTTTTCTTATATGGTGGTATGAAATAAACTACGAATACACAGAAGCTTATATCGATGACCTTATTATATATCATCTTTTTCTGTTGATAGTTTGTTTATTAACTATGTGCCTCTTGTGTCCATGCTAAATATGGATATGATATCACATAAATCTGTTTATGTGGCAGGAATAAAAATTTCCTTTGTGGCTATATCAAATAAGCTAAATATATAAGTTTATGTGCTCAATCTTATTATTCATCATTTAGTTTAATAAATTGTGGCATATTGGCTTTTTATCAAACAGAAGTCAAGATTTATAAATTGTAAAGGTTACTTTCGTTGAAGGACCCAATAGAGCTATGAGAACTCTTCTCCTTGTGGCACTTGTGATCATTCAAGTTGTTGCCACATCCCAGGGCCTTTTAAGAAATGAATTGTTTGGTGATTCATATCAAATAAAATTTTGAAGGGTAGGAAAAATACCTGGAGATACATAATCGTTTCAATGGTTTGCACTTGTGAGAATTGTACTACCATTTTCTCTCTGCTCTATCCAACAAAATGTGTTGAAAATCCAGGGCCTTGACTTGTTTTATGTGATTTTTATGGATTTTAAGAAAATCTTTTGTTATGTTATTGTTGGCATATCTTGTAATGAGGTTTTATGCTGTATTTTTTATAATAAATTTGGATTCTTTAAAATGCAGGCAATTCGCACAACGTTCAAGGGTCCGGAAACTTCAATACATAGCTGAGCTTGAAAGGAATGTGCAAGCTTTACAGGTAAGCATCACCAGAAGCTGAAATAATAGTGTTTAACACTGAAATTATTTGTAGTTAAAAGAGTGAAGTAATATATGCTTTACTAAAAATTTCTGATTTGAGAAATGTCTCACTCCACAGGCAGAAGGGACTGAATTTTCTGCTGAGCTTGAATTTCTTAACCAGCAGAACCTTCTTCTGAGCATGGAGAACAAAGCTCTGAAGCAACGTTTAGACAATTTAACTCAGGAGCAGCTCATAAAATGCTGTAAGTTTCTAAAATTGGGTTTACAGTCTTGGTAAACCATCCTTTCATCTGCTTCTTGTTGTGTGGAAGCTTGATCTGTTATACTTTTAGTCAGTGGTTCACCAGATGAGTTTGATTAGGTTATTAATATCATGTCGTATGGTTAAATAAACAAAAACTTAGTTTTATCAACTGCCATGTGTCTTCTCCTTATTATACTCCTGTGCACCTGGTTAGAAAGCACACACACACACACACATATTAAAGTTAGTTTTCGGGAATCTTTTTGCTTGAAATATTACTTGTAAGAAGGTTAACTCATGTGAGGACTGTGTTCAGTGGAGCAGGAGGTATTGGAGAGGGAGATTGGAAGGCTACGAGCCTTGTACCAGCAGCAGCAGCAGCAGCAGCAACCACCACCATCTTCTAGTCATCGACGCTCTAGCAGCAGAGACCTTGATTCCCAGTTTGCGAACCTATCCTTGAAACACAAGGATGCAAATTCTGGTCACGACTCTGTGACTGGTCCACTCCGCATTTAGATAGATGATTTAGCTAGAGCTGTGTTGTGCCACTACTTTTCCACAATTGGTGCTGCCCGCGTTAACATTAATTGTTGTTTCCCTTGTGCAGGATAAAAACTGAGGTCTTCCAAGTCTTGGTGCCCCCCTCTCTGCCTGATTTAACCACTTTAGTTTTTTCACTGTTTCTTTTTTCTCCTTTTTTTTTTCTTTTTTTTTCCTCCTCTTGATAAATTATTATTTTCTTTTGCACCTGGTAGTCATTGCTCGAAATTCACACTTCGAGGTCATGAATGACTCGCCCGAGGTGGTAACTTAAACCAGGTTCCACGTTTTGGCCTCTCATGTATGTTCCAATTGTTAAAAAAGGTTGTATGCTCTGCAGTTTTCTTCCATTTAAATCTCCACCCACAAGTCAACTGCAGAAAAAAAAGGTCATTAGGGCTCTTTTCAATGTGTAAGAAATTTCCTTCCTGTATTATGTATTAGCTGAAATACATTTTTCCTTTATGAGTTCTTTAATAGTTTATAATTTTGAGATTGATTTGGTTACAATGTTGGTACCTATGTATAAAACTTGTAACATTTAAAGTTACAAGATAACTAATCTTGTAGATCAATGCTACAAGTGTACTGTTTGAGTACACCGTTGCACAAATAAGAAATTATTTTCTCATTTTTCCCACCTTGTGGTAGAGTTATATGGGAGGTTTTTTAAGAAATGGGTTTGATTTGATTCATGAGCTATTAAATCTCAAGTCTATTACCGATTTTTGGAAATATGAAAAACCTATGTAGTAGAGGTGGGAATTCGGGATCGGACCTAAAAGTCTATCAAAAAACCCGGGTTTAGGATGGGTCTTTATGAGGACCGATCTTATAAGGTTCGGTCCTAAAACTGGACTAGGATCGTGGAGGAGGGCTTGGATCCTGGTTTGGTCCCTTCTTTCTCAGGCCTAGGCCAAAACCCTTTTTCCCTTTTTCAAAAAGACCCTTGAAAAATATCAAAAACATCTTGTTTTTAAGTATACAATAAAAATGGGGGTTAAAATGATATTTTATCAAAAAAAAAAAAAAATAAAAAAAAAAGCCACCGTCAATTGATCGTTTAGAGCCAACGGTCACATCTTTTACTCAAATTCTCTTCAATTTAATTTATATTACATTTATTCATATTATTATTATATTATTCAATTTTTTTCATTTTTCATTTATCTATTATTTATTTTTATTCAATTTCTTTCATTTTATTATTTATTATTTTATTATAAATTTACATGGTTCCCAAATTAGCATTTGGAGGATCATCCTCAATGAGTTTAGTTCATCCATCAGAGAAATGGAAGAGTTCAATCATTTTCACCATTTCTAGAGGCAATAACTCCAATTTTACAACCACAAATTGTGGGACTCGGTTTAGCAAACACAAGGAGTTGTGACTCCACGGCCTGACCGTTAAGAGGTCGTGTCTTAGTAGACAATTTTTTACAAATCAAATGACCAAAGCAAATGGGTTGGGGAAGAAACGTGCGGGGAATGTAATTTTTGTCCAACTATTATCGAATTGAGAATGAGACTTCGACGATGCGGACACTTGAGAAGAAGCACCCTCAATATATCAGTAATCTTGCCAGTCGTTCAAGTTCAATAGCACTAGGTAGGCAAATTCAAACTCAACTTAATTTTAATCCACAATCCTCAACTCTCTCTACATGCATACAATGCACTTAGAGCATGAGATGGCATAGCAAATTCCTAATGCTACAGACTCTCATATTTCTTCATCTAAAAATCCTTATTTTGTTGAAATGATTAAAAATGTTTTTTGTCTAGCATTTACCCCTTTTAGTGAGGTAAATTAGAAGGGACATAATAAACTTTATGATAAAAAAAAGATCAACTTAAAATAGAATTTGAAAATTTCATGAACATATCTATTGCACTTACTTCAGACATATAGGCTGCTAGATCAAAAACATACTTTTTGAGTGTAACAATACATTATCTAGATCATAGTTGGTGTTTACAACAAAAAATTGATAGGTTTTAAACCATTATATGCTAAACATAGTGCTGAGACTACTTATTTTAAAAATTATTGAAGTTTTGCAAAATTATTTATTAACTAAGAGAGTTGTGACGCTAATGCTTGATAATCAAACTGCTAACACTGCAACAATTTCTTTATTTGAAAAGAGATTGGATCCGCATGGTGAAGACAAATTTTTTCACCAAAGATGTATTTGCCACATCATCAATTTGATTATTAAAGTAGGTTTAGAAGCTATACATTCGAGGATCGAAAGGGTGCGCACGACTATCAGATTCATCGTAGTAGCCATACAAGATGGAATGAGTACGTAAAATATTGTTGCCAAGAGGAGCCGCTAATTCGACCAAAAAAGTTATGTATGGATATGCTTGTTCGTTAGAACTCCATGTACTTGTCGTTGGAACTCCATGTGCTTGATGTTGCAAAGAGCTATGCCAACCAGAAACAAATTACAAAGTTCGTCAACTAGATGAACTATCCAGACGAAGTGATCAACGATGATGATTGGATGGTTTGCAATGTTTTCATTTGTTTCTTAAAGTTTTTTATGATTCTACTAATACATTAAGTGGTATTTATTATCCTACTACTAATGTAGCGTTAGATATTTTACTTTGAATTATAACTTTTGCTATATATAGATATAATGAAGATTTGGGTGACATTGTTGTTCAAATGGAAAAAAATACCGGAAATATTGGTTAGATCTTCCATTCTTATATGGATTAGGTCTATTGTAGATCATATATTTAAATTAAGCATATTTAATTGTACGGTTGCTGAGATAGACCATAATTTACAATATGACTATAGTTCTTATTTGATAGACTTTAACAGAAAACTGGAAAGCCTTTTTTCTTTGTATCAGACTAGGCACATTGGATCATCCAACACTAGCAGAGACGAGCAACAGGACCCTAATGAAGACCAAGGGACGAGCATCTGGAAGTTTGAGGAACGCGGCAATGGTGGTAGTGGAAGTAGCAGCTTGTACAGACAACTTGGACCAAATAAGTTGCATCGGTATCTACAAATAGACATGTCCTACATGACCACGAAGGAGAAATGTGAGATGGATGTGCTTCAATGGTGGAACCACAATGTAAGTTAATTCCCTATAGTAGCCCAAATGGCACTTGAAAATTTATCTGTGCTAATTACGACAATGGCATTCGAGTCAACATTTTTAATTAGTGGCTGTATTGTTGAAGTGAGAAGATGCTTTTTAACCAATGAGATGGTTGAAGTCATAACATGTTTACAGGATCAGATTCATGTAGATAGAAGAGATCAGCAACACCTTGAAGATCCCAAACTACTCAACCTCTTCAGAAACACAGCTTTGGAGGATGTAAATATTGTTGACGATGCAAATTAATAATTTAATAAAATCAAATTTATTTAGTTGTTTATTTGTGAAGTGTGACTTAGAAACCGAGCGTACTAGTACCAACAACAACAAGGAGGTTCCCTGCAATCAAGAAACGACTCCTCCCGAAGGAGCTCCAACTCCCTAAAACATTGTGGGGAGCATGCCCTCAACCTCCCAAGCGGATCCTACTTTAATTCGTTACTTGGAGAAATTTGATAACACCCTCCGAACAATGAACCAGTGATTGGGTTGTTTCGATCAAGTAGTGCCACCAAACTTAGACAAGGTGGTGCCACCATCGAAGACACCTGTAGGTTGCTCAAAAACGTGGAAACGAGCACATCCTTGTACCACATGCACTACAGCGTAAAAGGGTAAACGCATAGCCGATCAAGGGCAGAAAAGCTTAAAAGGGCGTTCGAATACTGGCCACGAACAAAGGAAAAAATCTCTGGCCCAATGACTTGGTAGTAGTTCGCATTAAGAGTAGTCCCATGACATATCTCAAGGGCACGCCCATGAAAGTGCCAGGCAAGGAGGTTCCCACTACCGTTGGAGTGATTGTTTCGACCATCATTGAGAAGGAAATACCCACCATCAGCATGTTGGTTCTGACCATCGCAGAGATAGGGAAAACTCCCCCAGCCACTTGATGCCTTCACAGGGCTCCGACCCTCAAGTGTTAAGGCATGTTGNGCTGCTAGATTAAAAACATATTTTTTTAGTGTCACAATACATTACCTAGTTCATGGTTGACATTTACAACAAAAATTGATAGGTTTTAAATCATTATATGAAAAACATAGTGCTGACATTATTTATTTTACAATTATTGAAGTTTTTCAAGAATATTTATTATTTGAGAGAGTTGTAGCACTAACGCTTGATAATGCAGTTGCTAACACCTTGACAATTTCTTTATTTGAAAAGAGATTGGACCTGCTTGGTGAAGGCAAATTTTCCACTAGAGATGTGCTTGCCACATCATCAATTTGATTGTTAAAGTGGGTTTAAAAGATATACATTCAAGGATTGAAAGAGTGCGCACGACTATTGGATTCATTGCCGGTAGCAATTCAAGATGGACTGAATTTTGCAAATATTGTTGCCAAGAGGATTCGCCAATTGAACCAAAGAAGTTACGTATGGACATGCCTGTTAGTTGGAACTTCACGTACTTGATGTTGGAAAAAGTTATACCAACCGCAAGACAAATTACAAAGTTTGTCAACCGGAAGAACTATCTGGAGGAAGTCGTCAACGAATCCAATTAGACGATTTGCGTACTTTTTTTTTTTTTTTTTGGTTTCTTAAAGTTTTTTATGATTCCACTAATACATTAAGTGATATTTATTATCCTACTACTAATGTAGCGTTAGATATTTTACTTTGAATTATAATTTTTGCTACATATAGATATAATGAAGATTTGTGTGACATTGTTGTTCAAATGGAAAAAAAATACTGGAAATATTGGTTAGATCTTCAATTCTTATATGGATTAGGTCTATCGCAGATCATATATTTAAATTAAGCGTATTTAATTGTACGGTTGCTGAGATAGACCATAATTTACAATATGACTATAGTTCTTATTTGATAGACTTTAACAGAAAACTAGAAAGCCTTTTTTCTTTGTATCAGACTAGTCACATTGGAGCATCCAACACTAGCAGAGACGAGCAACAGGACCCTAATAAAGACCAAGGGACGAGCATCTGGAGGTTTGAGGAACACGACAATGGTAGTAGTGGAAGTAGCAGCTCGTACAGACAACTTGGACCAAATAAGTTGCATCGGTATCTACAAATAGACATGTCCTACATGACCACGAAGGAGAAACGTGAGATGGATGTGCTTCAATGGTGGAACCACAATGTAAGTTAATTCCCTATAGTAGCCCAAATGGCACTTGAAAATTTATCTGTGCTAGTTACGACAATGACATTCGAGTCAACATTCTTAATTAGTGGTCGTATTGTTGAAGTGAGAAGATGCTCTTTAACCAATGAGATGGTTGAAGTCATAACATGTTTACGGGATCAGATTCATGTAGATAGAAGAGATCAGCAGCACCCTGAAGATCCCGAACTACTCAACCTCTTCAGAAACACAGATTTGGAGGATGTA